TTTTCTCAATGTAGCTCGGATCAATTGTTGCTTAGCTTTGCCAACATTGTAGCTGCTCAATCAACCCTCAAAATAACGTCATATAGGCGTAAATACGGCAGTGTCATTATTGTTTATACTACCATGTGAATTATGCACGTACATTTATACACATATAATATTTTTTTCCTCCATAGCCGATTGGCTTTCGCAACACAACAACATGCAAAATTTGCCTCATTCACATCATCTGTGGCGCCCGGCGCAATTACGCGTCTACTCATGTTGATTCTGATCTGTCCATTGACTTTCTATGTAATCTCGTGGCGCGAAAATTTGCGTTGTGTTCGGTGTGAAAACATGAATTTCTGTTTTCTTCTGTTTTGTCAAAGCACTTGGTATATTGGTTGCTGTTGGGATGTAAAGAGAATTTAGACAAATATAACCAAAACATTTTTTACAAAATAGAATTACCTACCCTAGCTTTAAGTTTTTTTTTTCACCTGAAGAGCAAACAGACTCATATAATTGAGGAGAGATACATAGTTGACCTAATCTCAAACCTCAAACCCAAATTAATTTAACCCAAGGCCCCTTCCTCCCATCACTTCCTTAAAATGGATCGCTTTAAAATAAATAAAAACATTTTATCATTTTTAATTTTTAAATGCAAATTTATTCAGAACTGTCATTCTTCAAAGTGAATTCACAATTTACTTATCGATGACGTCAAAGCATGTATATTTTCAAATGGTTGCCGCAGTTGAACAATACATGGCTTTGGAGTGGCCCTCAGTCTAGTTGAATCTAGGGTTACCATCCTGAGGGTCGGCATCAAATGAACGTTTGGCCAGCTGTTCCTGCTGTTCCTGCTGTTCCTGCTGATCTTGGGCCTTGCCAATGCACCTGATGTATGGAGAGAAGATTCAGCAGCAGAACATAATATTGTGTGAGGAGAAAAAGTTATTGTAGTAGTGTTTGTGTTAGTATTATGACAGATGAATGATATCACATTTACAATAACATAAAGGTTAGTTTCACTTTAATAGTTATTGTAACACAAGTAGATAAGTAGTTGCAAAAAATAACAATGGTAGAAGAATAGGTCCTTACCCATGAGCAACATAGTGTACTAAATAAAACAGACAAGAGAAAAACACAATTAGCAGAACTCTTTTCTTTGCATCACAAAAAAACAGTAACCGTATCACAATAACATTTGTGTTTGTAGCACCAAATAATAAATTAATTATGAACACAGTATAGTAGAGGGTTATAGACATTCATTGTGCTCAGTTCTCGTAAGTAATGCACATTATTTTAAAACCATGTATCTAGATAATTATACATTCAATTGAGATTTAAAATGTGCTGTTACTGAACACGCAGCTTTGTCATCCTGCTTCATAACAAATTGTAAAGCCCATCTCTATGCGAATGATACACATCTTTATTGCTTTGCAAACACTGCACACTCAGCCACTGAAATCATATAACAAACCTTTGAGGAATTTCTAGATGCTCTTTTTAATTTGAAATTAGTCGTGAATGCAAACAAGACTTCATATTTGCTATTCTCTAGAGCCGGAGATATTGTGGACAGTAGTTTGCATATTACAACTCTGATTGGATATAGTATTGACA